AATCTTTTCTTTTTTTTTTTGTTGGTCAGGGGCTTGAATTCTGGGCCTGAATGCTGTCCTCAGGATGGAGCGCTAACCACTTGAGCCACTGGGCCACTTCCAGTTTTCTGAGTGGTTTATTGGAGATAAGGGTCTCATGGACTTTCCTGGCTTTGAACCATCATGATCTTCAGATCTCAGCCTCCTGAGTAGCTAGAATTAGGTATGAGCCACAGGTGCCCAGCTTAATCTTTTCTTTTTTTTTGGGGGGGGGGGTCCGGTCGTGGGGCCTGAACTCTGGGCCTGGGCACTGTCCCTCAGCTCTTCAGCTCAGGCTAGCGCTCTACCACTTGAGCCACAACACCACTTCCAGCTTTTTTCCTTTTGCTTATGTGGTGCTGAGGAATCGAACCCAGGGCCTCATGCATGCAAGGCAAGCGCTCTACCACTGAGCCACCTTCCCAGCCCCCAGCTTCATCTTTTCTATTTTTGGTACTTCTATGTCCTGAAATTATTTGTTCCTTCACTGCAGTTGTATTATCTGTGCTGCTTGTGACCAGCAGTTATGTGAGGACTGTAAATCTTAATGTGAAAGGAGTTAGAAGTGAGACCCAGACCTATTCCTAGCCAGCTGTGATCGAGAAAAAATGAAAACCTTCTTTCTCTTTCCTCCTTTCTTTCTTTCTCTTTCCTCCTTTCTTTCTTTCTCTTTCCTCCTTTCTTTCTTTCTCTTTCCTCCTTTCTTTCTTTCTCTTTCCTCCTTTCTTTCTTTCTCTTTCCTCCTTTCTTTCTCTTTCCTCCTTTCTTTCTTTCTCTTTCTTTCTCTCTTTCTTTCTCTCTTTCTTTCTCTTTCTCTCCTTCTTTCTTTCTCTCTTTCTTTCTCTCTTTCTCTCTCTCTTTCTCTCTCTCTTTCTCTTTCTCTCTTTCTTTCTCTTTCTCTCTTTCTTTCTTTCTTTCTTTCTCTTTCTCTCTTTCTTTCTTTCTCTCTTTCTCTTTCTCTTTCTTTCTTTCTCTTTCTCTTTCTCTCTTTCTTTCTTTCTCTCCTTCTTTCTTTCTCTCTCTCTTTCTTTCTCTCTTTCTTTCTCTCTCTCTTTCTTTCTTTCTTTCTTCCTTCCTTCCTTTCTTTCTTTCTTTTTCTCTTTCTTTCTCTCTTTCTTTCTGCCAGTCCTGGGGCTTGAACTCAAGGCCTGGGTGCTGTCCCTGAGCTTCCTTTTTTGCTCAAGACTAGCACTCTACCACTTGAACCAGAGCGCCACGTCTGGCTTTTTCTGTGTAGGTGTTACTGAGGAATCGAACCCAAGCTTCCTTTATGCTAGGCAAGCACTATCACTAAGCCACATTCCCAGTCCCCTAAAACCTTTCTAACATTGGTAATCAATTATACTAAGAATGTGAGCCTACTCCCTGGATGAGGAGAGCTTGGATTGGGATGAATACCTGGCCAGCTGCTCTGCCCTGGGGCATCCTGACTGTGCAATGTCTTCAGGCAGTTCTGAGATAACCTGACTCCACAGGCCAAAGTGAATAAAAGGAAAGTTTTGTAAGAGTTAATCCAGATTAATACCCTGCTGTAAAAATAGCATCTCATTCTTTCTGTCCAGCTATAAAAGTAATTGTTAAACCAAAGTTCACTTCATTGTTTGTTCAAAGGAAACACCTTCTAACTAGAATGCCATTTTCCCCTGGTGTTTTTTTTTTTTTTTTTCCTTTTTGTCAGTCTTGGGGCTGAACTCTGGGCCTGGGAGCTGTCCCTCAGCCCTTCAGCTCAAGGCTAGAGCTCTACCACTTGAGCCACAGCGCCACTTCCAGCTTTTTTTTAATTTTTTTCTGCTTATGTGGTACTGAGGAATCAAACCCAGGGCCTCATGCATGCAAGACAAGCACTCTACCACTGAGTCACCTTCCCAGCCTCCCCTGTTTAATGTCTGTTTCCCAAGTATGTAAACCACCTATATAAACTGCCCTGGACACAAAGTACAACTGTTTCAATCTTAATTTGTGTCCTAAAGTGCTCTGTTCGTTAAAAACTGACTAGATTGTTTAATCAGTGGCTCTTGTAAAACTCTCATGTCTACTGACTTTATCATTACAGATTTCTACCCTCTGCAGCATTTAATTAGACCCACTGAGGGATAAATAACTCTTGCAAGTATTTATCGGTCAATTCTTAGCAAATTCCAGGTAAGCCCTGCTTAAAAACTATTTCTATTAATCACGTTGTTCCTTCACTTGGAGTAAGGGGGTTGTTGGTAAAGGTTCCTTTGATCTGAGGAAGGACTGAGGTTTGAAGCCAGCTAGGGCAGAAAAGTCCCTGTGAGACTCTTATCTCTAATTAAATAGCCAAAAGCTGGAAGTGGCACTGTGGCTCAAAATGGCAGAGTGCTAGAAGAGCAAAAGAGCTCAGGGACAGCGCCTAGGCCCTGAGTTCAAGCCCCAGGGCTGACAAAAAGGATCCCAGCAAGAAGCAGACACCCCCCAGGACAAAGCTTGTCCTAGTGACCAGAGCCCATCCAGAGGCAGATAAGAAGGGATAGTGTCACATCCTAAATTGAGTCACATTGCCCTTGAGAGATCAAAAGAAAATAGTTTATAAGCATGCCCATCTAATGTCCATACCTGTCTACCTTCTAACTGAACATGAACTTACATTCCTGCCTTTGTTATAGCCCAGACATCTATAGTCCAGTTTCAAGAAGTGATCAAGGCCTCTTACCAGGCCCTTGGCCACTCCGATCCACCCCAGCTTCTGAGTGGTTATTCTTTTTTTTTGGATCCAGTCGTGGGGCCTGAACTCTGGGCCTGGGCGCTGTCCCTCAGCTCTTCAGCTCAAGGCTAGCACTCTACCACTTGAGCCACAGCGCCACTTCCGGCTTTTTAAAAAATTTTTTCTGCTTATGCCGGGCTCTGGTGGCTCAAGCCTGTAATCCTAGCTACTCAGGAGGCTGAGATCTGAGGATCGTAGTTCAAAGCCAGCCCGGGCAGGAGAGACCGTGAGACTCCTATCTCCAATAAACCACCAGAAAACCGGAAGTGGCGCTGTGGCTCAAGTGGTAGAGCGCTCGCCTTGAGCTGAAGAGCTGAGGGACAGCGCCCAGGCCCAGAGTTCAAGCCCCACGACCAACAAAAAAAAAAAAAAAAAATTTTTCTGCTTATGTGGTGCTAAGGAATCGAACCCAGGGCCTCATGCATGCAAGGCAAGCGCTCTACCACTGAGCCACTTTCCCAGCCCTATTCTTTTTTTTTTTTTTGGCCAGTCCTGGGGCTTGAACTCAGGGCCTACACTGTTCCTGAGCCTCTCTGTGCTAAAGGCTAGCACTCTACCACTTGAGCCACAGCGCTACTTCTGGCTTTTTCCATTTATGTGCTACTGAGGAATTGAACCCAGGGCTTCATGCATGCTAGGTAAGCACTCTACCACTAAGCAACATTCCCAGTCCTCTAACTGGTTATTCTTAACTAGTCCACCATGCTCTCCCCTACCCAGTCACCAGAAACCCTAGACACTCCCTTTCTGCACCTTGTCAGCCTTTTGTCTGATCTCAACTCAATGACAAGAGCATCTCAGTAGATGATGGGAATCGCTCCAGAGGACATCCGGTGGGACTCCCTCTCACCATGGTACCCCGGCTGGCTCTTCTATTGGGACCCTTAACAGTCCCCCTTCTTGGACTCTGTTTTCTCAGCCTTTTTCAAAAGTTTCCCTTTGACAGGAATGACAGCACTCACTCAGGACACTACTTGGGAACAAGTCAAGGCCATCCTATTACCGCAGGCATCCAGAGGCTTGCTTACACTGCCCTACTGTCCAGCGCAGCCAGGGACCCTGAAGATCCCAGCCCCAGTGGCTCTCGGTGCCCTCATGTCAGCAGGAAGTAGCCACAAAAGACCACAAGAGGCTGGGAAGGTGGCTGGGAAGGTGGCTCAGTGGTAGAGTGCTTGCCTCGCATGCATCAGGCCCTGGGTTCGATTCCTCAACACTACATAAACAGAAAAATCCAGAAGTGGTGCTGTGGCTCAAGTGGTAGAGTGCTCGCCTTGATCTGAAGAGCTGGACAGTGCCCAGACCCTGAGTTCAAGCCTATGACCAACCGAAAAAAAAAGACCACAATATCCCACAACTTTGTATACCCCTTCACGGTGTCAAATGACGGGAATCTGCTTTGTTCTCATAACCACCCTGTCCTGGGGACCCCTCCTGGCTTTCAGGAAAACTTCACCCCAGCCTTATCTGAAAGCCCAGGACTGCTGGTGTCAGGAGGAAACTCCTACCAGTAAGCCCCAAAGGGGACAGTTTGCACCGTAGATCCCAAACAGGACCGTTCAGAAGATAAATCTCCAACAGGATGGGACAAAGAAATTCCAAAGGAAAGTCTGACCTCTTCCCTGATCTCCTCTTCCTGCCCATTCGCTTTATGTATCCAAAGACCCTCTACGAAGGACCTGTCTCTCCTTTCTCAGCCCAATCATTTCAAGCAGACAAAGATGAGATGAAGAGTGACAGCCCCTCTCCCCCTGCTCCGTTACCCCAGATGCATCCGGAGCCACCCCAAACCCCAGCTATGCATAGATGTGTGTGATGTGCAGGTAGGGCGATCTGCCTAAGCCCAGCCGTCACAGTCCATTGTGGCCCCACCTCCCTAGACCTAACAGCATCTTCATTAACTTCTACCTCCCTGCTCAGACCCCCTATAAGCCCGACCCCAGCCCCACCCCCTCGCACATCTCCAACGCCATGGGAAGGCTGCTGCCCCTTGCTGTTCTAGCTCAATAAACAGTCCGGCCTGTTTCCTTCCTTTCTCCTCTATTTCGCTAACACCCAGGCCCTGAGTTTGAGCCCCATGACCAACAAAAATAAAGGTCTGGGAACCAGCCAGAGGCCCCAGGGCATGCTGGGAAATCAGTCTTGGCTTTGGGGGGGTCTCCAGGCAGCCCAGCCCTGTTCAGAGCCTCTCGCCCCCATGTGACTGTCTTGGTGATGCTGTACGGGGGGGGGAGCCCATGAAGGCTGCTGGGACCCCCACCCTGGCCCGCGGAGTGTCTGGGGTCCCTGGATGCTCCCCCTTTTCCCAGATTCTCCTGTCCCCTTCTCTCAACCAGCCTAGAGGGAACATAAGAGGTCAGGGAAAAGATGCCCCACAACGGTGAATGTGCACCCCTTGATCTGAGCAGATTCTGTGGCTGCCCCTGGGCATCTCCGAGAAAGACCAAGTTCACACCATGTGCAAGACAAACCTCAGCATCACATTCATCTGAGTGGAAGGTCAGGGCGGGAGAAACATGGCGTTCTGACCTCCAAGACCGATTCCCCCAGCAGCTCCTTCTCCTGCCCCACGCCCAAGGGAAGCCCACTCAACAAGCCCGGCTCAATGCACCCGGCCGGGCTTCTCTGGGCCTCTTCCTGCCTCACCCACCTCCGGCCTCCAAGGGGCCGGGGGGGGGGGGGGGGGAGGGGAAATCTGCCCCTGAGGGTGGCTGTGGGGGCCATGAGTGTTTTGGGGGGTCCCTGAGTGTGTGAACACAGCAAATTTCCCACCTGCTCCTTGCTCCACCCCCCAAATTCCCAGTCCCACCCCACCCCACCTCAGCTCACCGGAATAATCCAACTGGCCATCCTTAGCTTTCTCTGAGGCTGAGAGTTGGGGGCCATGGTTGAGGAGTTCCTTGGAGATCGTCTGCCTCTCCGTCTGAGAGCTGGTGAAGAATGGGGTGAACATGGATTTGAACTTGTTGCACAACCTAGATTCAGGTCCCTCTGGCTCAGCACGTGGATGCCACCAGGGGGCGCTCAGGGGATGACCCCCCCCCCCTCCCCCAAAGGCAGAGGGAGAGGAGACCACCTCTGCCCTTCAAGAGTTAATCCCCCCCAGTCTGCCCTCCCCACGCCCCCATAAGTTTCAAGCGTTGGTGGTAAAGCAATCAGGTTGTACTGGGGTTTGACTTGCTGTGTGAGCCTGGGCAAGTTTCTGTCTCTCTCTGAGCTTTAGTTGTTCCCACCTGGTCAAGGGCGGTGGCTGGGGTCTGGCACTGGGGAACTGAGTCACCTTTGGCCTTGGTTGTTTGAGTCAGAGCCCCATCCCCCCCACCCCTCAGTCCTCACATCCTCTGACATTAGCTTAGAAATTCAGAGTAAGCCGGGTGCTGTAGCTCACGCCTGTCATCCCAGCCACTCAGGAGGCTGAGATCAGAGGATCTTGGTTCAAAGCCGAGCAGGGCAGGAAAGTCTGTGAGGCTCCAATCTCCAATGAACCACCAAAAAGCTGGAAGTCGAAACATGACTCAAGTGCTAGAGGGCCAACCTTGCACAGAGGAAGGTTCAGAAACAAGTGCACAGGCCCCGAGTTCGAGCTGGTGCTCTACTACATGAGCCACAGTTCCACTTCCATCTTTTTGCTGGTTCCTTACAGATAAAAGAGTCTTATGGGCTTTTCTACCCAGGCTGGCTTTGAATCATGATCCTTAGCTCTCCGCTTCCTGCATAGCTAGGATTACAGGTGTGCACCCGGGGGCTGGGCCTTGGCTTTCGTTTTGATCCAGGCTGTCTGCCAGGGGTGGGGCTAACCCCAGTCCCCGCCCTCTTCCAGTGAATTACCTGCGGCGGACATTCAGCCTTACTCCTTGATGATACTGCAGATGCAAACTAAGTTTTCCAATACACCCAGGCCCACCTGGCAGCCGGCTGCCTATGAATCTGAGACAAATTTTAAAGCAAAAGACATCAGGATTTAGGAAGGGAGGGAGGGAGGAGGGAGAAGTGAAAGGAATGTGATGGATGAGCAGGAGGAGCCCCGCCCAGCAGCTGGACCAATCTGTTACCATGGAAACCTAGAAGGGTGGGGAGGGAGGAAGCAAAGCCCGCTTCTGGATGAGCTTGGCTTGGGGTCAGAGATGGGGGGGGTGCTGAAGTCCCCAGCCACTCCCCTCCTGACACTTCTGATAGAAGCTGTCTTCCCAACCCCAGAGGGAACAAAGAAGATTGTTCTGGAACCACAGAGCCCCTGAGATCTCAGGCCCTGGCAAGATGAATGAAGAGACCTTCAAACTAGCAGGCGCTGGGTTCTACAAAGATGCTTGTCTCCCAACCACATAAAACCCCACAAAGATGGGGGGCCTGGGATCTCCCCATCCTAGATCACAGATGGCCAGGACTCACAGAGGCATTTGAAAACACCAGGCCTGTGAGAACCACCCCTAAAATTACAAACTAGCCAGTCAGCCGTCCCTCTGACGTTCACCGCTTCTCTGCGGCCGCAAGTCATTTACTTGGCATCCACCGGCTCCCGTTCCTAAAATAATACACAGCCAGGAAAAGCAGCTCAGGCCTGTTCACACGGGGGCCACCCCCACCCCGCTGCCAGAGGTGCCAGACATGACAATCTTGAAACGATCTTCATTTGCTCTGTGTACCTTGCTGAAAAGGTTTGGGGGAGCTGGTTAAGAGGAAAGTGAAGTCCAATTTGCAGTCAAGTTCCATTTCAATCTCTCTCTCTCTTGCTGGTCCTGGGGCTTGAGCTCAGGGTCTCATTCTTGGCTTTTGCTGCTCAAGGCTGGTGCTCTACCGCCTTGAGACACAGCTCCCCCACTTCTGGCTTTTTTTTTTTTTTGGTACTTCATTAGAGATGAGAGTCTCACAGATCTTTCTGCCTGGGTGGCCTCTGAACCATGATCTTCAGATCTCAGCCTCCTGGGTAGCTGGGATTACAGGCGTGAGTCTGTGGCGGGCCTGCAGCAATTGAGTCCCTCTGAAGGGTGTATTGGCAGCTTAGCATGCATGAACTTCCCTGTATTGAGTTGCACTCACACAACAGGATTGGGGGGCAGATTCCACTCTCCCCCTCCCCTCACCCCAGTTTCTGGTTTGCCATCCAGAAGTGACTCTGATTACATTCCGGCTGGCATGGTCTCTGCCTCGATGTCCCGGTGGTGCTGGCTGTTTGTTAATTCGTTTTAATCCTTTGCTAGGTCGTGAGTTCATAGGGAAGCATCACGTTTGCCAGTGTCAGGGTGTTCCTTCCTAGCAAGTGCTCTCTGGTTCATGCTTGGCTGGGTCTTTGATTTTTATTTATTTATTTCTGGTAGGAACAGATGAGTGCACCACGCTTGTTAAACTCAGCCAAGTTCAGATATGAGAGCTCTCAAAACATGACTGATTCGACCTTCCAAAAGGCACCCATGCCGGGACCAGGTTTAGTAGAGCATACCTGTAGTCCCAGAACTTTGGAAGCCACTCTGGACTCCAGTGAGAAAAGCTTAACATCAACAAAACACGTGCCAAGGAGAGAGTCGTAGCACACAGGTGTAGTCCCTGCGGAGTGTGCCTAAGGCTGGCAGCCCTGCTGACAGACAAGGCCACTGGCTCACATTCTCCTGGTGCTCTGCTCTTCTCCAGCCATCCAGAATGATCCAGCAGTGACCCCGGCAGAAGCGCTGGTATTAATGTCATCTGCATCTTCACCAGTCCCTCCCACGTGATAAATATTTTGATTCTTGTCCTTCTGGGAAATTATATACCAGCCAGAAATCAGACTCCAAGAGATGGCGGCAGGTGCCCGGAGGGAGGAAGTCACCTTAATTAATAACAGGATGGCCATAGCTGGGGGCCGTGGCAAGAGTGGTCGAGCACCCACTGCACCAGTATGAGAGGCCCTGGGTTCAAGTCCCAACACTGCGAAAAGAAACCAGATCATAACAAAAGGCCCGAGGAGGCCCACTTCTGTCTGCCTTTGGAATTCCAAGGAGAAAGAAGGTGCTAGAAATTAAAAAGTCAGCCTGCCTTCACCCTTTTCCTTTTCTTTTTCTTTCTTTTTTTGTGTGTGCAGGCACTAGAGCTTGAACTCACACTCCTGCCTGGCTTTTTTGCTCAAGCCTCTCTACCACTCGGGCCACCACTCCATGAACTGTTTTTGCTTTGTTTTGTTTTTGCTGGTGGACTGGAGATGGGACTCTCTCGGAGTTTTCTTGTCCCGGGGCTGCCTTTGAACCGCAATCCTCCAGATCTCAGCCTCCTGAGATGCTGGGATTACAGGCGTGTGCTACGATGCCTGGCATCCCCTCTTTACGTGAACAGGGCTCCTTGTCTTATTTAACTTGTCACAAAAACCAAGCCTTCGGCACCTGCCCAACAGGTGCAAGGAGCAAGAAAGCCCAGACATGTTTCTGCAACTGCCATGAGAGAAGTCGGGGGTGGGGGGGAAGGACCTATGCCCCATCTTTCTCTGAGCCATCTCCCTCCCTCCTCCTGCCTTGCTGGGCGGCCTCCTTTGTCCCCCTCAATACCATCTCCACATCCCGGAAGCCCCTTTAGGATTTCCCCTGCCCTCCCTCCTCCCCTCCCCACTCAGGCTTGGGCTATGGAGGCTATGGAAGGTTCTGGAAGTCCCAGGAAAGCTGGGATTCTCCAGACCTCCCTGGCCTTGCGGCTTCTGTATACAGCAGGTGCTCAACGAAAGTGAGTCCCGGAAACAGCCAAGCCACGTGCACAGCACGGTGCACTGGCTGCGTGTGACTGCGTGCACAGCACCACACTGTCTCTGCAAGTCCCATCTGGCTGTCTCCATTGGACTCCAAGAGTGGGGGTGCTAGGCTAAGTCCTGCCTGGATAAAGCCCAGGCGGGCGGGGCTGCGGAAGGAGGGGCAGTCTCATTCTTACACGGTTCTGAGGATGGAGGCGGCAGACCGGAGCAGCAGCACTTCCGGCATGGTTTCTGGGGAGGGGGTGGGGGCGGTGGTACTCCCTCTACGAGTTCCCTGGGGGGTGGGGTGGGGAGAAGAACAAGAACCTCAAAAGGCTGATCACTGTCCAGGGTGCTATGTCCTGGGGGACCCCTGGCAGCCCCCAAGAAGCTTGACTCCACCCTGGGGTCCTGCCACAGAGACCCCGTACTGAGTCCCAGCCCAGCTCCCGGCTCCCAGGGGGCAGCACCTGTCCAGCTGTGTCCCTGGCAGCCAGCCTCCACCGCCAGGGCTGCCTTTACCCCCAGCTGCCTCCCCGGAGGCTCCTGCCTGGAGGCTCAGGCCTCCAAGACTAATCCAAGGCTCCAGATTGCTTTGCAGGGCCTCCAACTCGTTTCTTCCCTCCCCCCCCATTTCCAGACTACTGTAATTCTCCAAAGAAGGTGTGGTTTAAGTACCTCCCTCTATCCCCCCCCCCCAAAAAAAAATCCTCAGGACAATAGCCTTCAATCCTCTAGATCTCATAATCCTGGACCCAGAGATACTCCCCCCCCCACACACACACACACACACATCCTGCTCCCTCCACACAAATCGGGGTCCTCCACAGCAGCAACCAAGTCTCCAAGACTAATTTTGTGTATGTGTGTGCCAATCCTGGGATTTGAACTCAGGGCCTGGGTGCTGAATGTTTGTGCTAAAGGCTAGCGCTCTACTGCTTGAACCACAATGCCCCTTCCAGCTTTTTTTTTTGGGGGGGGGGGTTAGTTTAATAGAGTTAAGAGTCTCACCAACTTTCCTGCCCCAGACTGACTTCAAACTGCAACACCTCCGATCTCAACCCTCCTGAGTAGCCGGGATTCCAGGCGTGAGCTACTGGTGCGTGACTCTAATGTTGTTTTGTGGTTGTTCAATGGACAGCCTCTCCTCAAAGATCAAGCTGGCAGCCATCTCTCTCCTGACCCTGTACCCCACAGTGGGGCCCCTACAAGTCTCCCAGCAGACCAGGGTGCCCTGAATTG